ACTCCCTTACCTACTAACTCAGTTTCTTTGGGTACCTTACATAACTTTTCTGAGCTTCATTTTCTGTTTTTGCAAAACTTAGTAATGCTAATACTTACCTCAGAGGATCATCCTGGTAAATGATCTGGAATGTGTGATGCCCCTAGCCTTGTTTCTCCATGTGTACTAACTTCTTCCCCTTCCCAGTTCTTTTATGAAAGAGACCAAAATGCCAAGGATCATAGATTTTTCGCTAGTATAATGGTGGTGAACAAGGTGAATACAGGTCAGACAGGTTTACACTTAATGACAATGAGATCTTGAGTGACCAGAGAGAAGAGTCACCATGAAGGCTGAGAATCCACCTTGGCTGCCTCATAACGCAGGAGATATCAGGAGTGGGACTGTTGAAGGTTTATTCCATTTCACTTCATAGGGAACCCAGTCCAAGGCATGGAGGGCCACCAGAATACTTTCTGTGGCAAGCACTGATCATCCGTAAGCAGGTAGTTGTTTCTTCTTGCTACCAGATTCATAAAACTTCAGAAGAGATCATTGAGGAAAAAGCAGATTCAGAACAAATCCCACTTGTAGAGGGTTGAAGGGCATCCATTTACATTTCATTTCTAAGTCAGAAATTTAATTTCAGGTAATCTTTTCTATGGAAATAAGATCTTCGTGGATATCACTAATAAAGGTGAGGTCATACTGGATTAAGATGAGTCAATGACTGATTTCATAAGAGAGAGGACCCACAGGTTAAAGAGAGACTTGTGGGCAAAGAGGCAGTGAATGGAATAATCAGCTACAATCCTAAAAATACCAGTGACTGTTGGGAGCTGCCAGAAGCTTGGAAGAGGCAAGGACGGTTCTTCCCAAGAAATTTCAGAGGGATCATGACCTTGATGGAGTTTGGTTTCACACATTCAGCCTCTAGAACTATGACAATAACTTTCTTCTGCTTCTTCTTTTTTTCAAAAAAGATTTATTTATTTGTGCATGCAGAACTGGGGTACAGGCCAGAGGCTCAGGGGCGGTGAGAGGCTTCACCAGAGACAGAGTGGGGAACAGAACAGGCAAGTACACTGCTGAGGGGAGCAGCGGGCGGGTCAGGAGAGGTCTGCCATGCCATGTGGTCACCTCCCGGGCAGGCGGGAATCGAACTCATGCGGAAGCGGCTTTAGATTCTCAGTGCTGTGCTTTAAGCCGCTGCGCCACCAGGGAGGGCCCACTTTCTTCTTTTTTAAGCCACTAAGTACCAGGTCATTTGTGATGGGTGCCTTAGGAACTAACATGTCACTCTACCTCATATCAGGATGGCATGAGTTTTTATAAACTCTTCCATCACTGGCGACTACTTTTCTTTTCTTCTTCATTTCACCAGTTTTTCTTCTTGTCACTCTCACTGAAACATTGAGGTAGCCAGCTCTATTCCATCTTTTACACTTCCAGGGGTGGCTTGTAACTTTACTACTCAGGGTGTATTGGCCAGAGAGTGGCTAACACCAGTTCATAGCAGGGCTGACAGAACTTTGGGCCTCCTCTGGTCTCTAATCATCTGTGACCAAAAAAATGTGGCATGTGACCACTCTGTGCTCAGATTTATCTGAAAAGCACAGGTGGACACCAGGCCAGCTACCACACACATTACTGGGTTTAAAATATGATAGATGAGAGAATGCTTTTTACAAGTGAAGGTTCATTTAAACTTGTAAGAAGCTATTCCATTATTATTAAAAAACCTCACTACAGATAAAGAACCCAGTAAATCAAAACTTGTACATATCTGATTTCAGATCCAGGTTGATAAACCTTCTTACTTTGAGGCCTTCACCTCATGTTTGTGCCTTTATAGTTCACTGACTTGATGCAGAGAGGGAAAGGCCATTATTTGTCTTCAATTTCTTTTTTTTTTTTTAAAGATTTATTTATTTATTCATACAGTACTGGGGTACAGGCCAGAGATGCGGAGGGTGAGAGGATTCACCAGGGACAGAGTGGGGAGCAGAACAGGCAGATCTACGAAGTACACCGCTGAGGGGAGCAGTGGGCAGGTCAGGAGAGGTCTGCCATGCCATGTGGACCTCCTCCAGGGCAGGTGGGGATCGAACTCATGCGGAAATGGCTTAAGCTTCTTAGTGCAGTACTTTAACCCGCTGCGCCACCAGGGAGGGCCCTGTCTTTAATTTCTTTTAATACAGTTACTGACAACCCAGAACTGGGGCCAGGGTTTTAAACCACCAACCAATCAAATAAAGTGCTGGAGTTTAAGAAATTCTGGCTTTTAAACAGTTCTATTCTTTCATGAGTCTACACTATTGTGAACAGAGATACATAGATTCTATTTATTGACAAATATCTTCAGAGATTTTGGCTTTATGGAATTAAAAAAAAACTTGGCAAAGGAAGAAATTTTAATAATGCACCTACTATATCCTCAATAAAAAATCCTAAACTTCTATTGTTTTGTAACCAATGGTCACTCTTAACTTCAGATGATAATGGAGGAGGTGAACTAATTCAAACCAGCCAAGTAACTATTAACTTCTAATAATTTCTTACTCTAACCAGTGAACTCCTATTTTGTTATTTTTATATATTTTTTTATGACATTTCAAAAGTTTAAAGCACACTTTTTCACACTTTAACACCTATGAAATCAAGATGTGTCTTGTAGTCAATTTTGCTTTTCACTCTTTTGTTTATAATTGCCAGGATTGGTTTCCCCATCTGAATGATACTTTATATATAATGTGAATCCTCACTATACACAATATGAGTGTATTTTATATTTTATAACAGAGAGGTGTTAGATTCTATGAAATATGATATTTCATTTAAAGACTATGGAAACTCTCTGAAAGCTGTAGTGAAATTCCTTTTATAATCTTCCTATCAAATCTCAATGGAACAAGTGATAGTTTCTACCTCAGAAACACTTAAAGTCTGCATTAGAACTCAGTCATCTGATTTTTTTTTAGAATAAATGCATCATTAGAAAAGATATAATTTTGAGATCAAAAAATAGAAACGAGATTTAGGAGTAAAAGTACTATCCAGTGAAAGGAAAATCAAACAATCTCGTTTCCATAATTACATTCATGCAAAATGTCGTCACAGCACCTAGTGAGTTTCCTATGAGTCTGAGTTACCAAACTATGTGGCAAGAGTCCTGGTTTCCAGCCCCCAATCTGCTGAACAAATACCTATCCTTTCAGAGACTCAGCTATAAAACAGATTGGTTCCATTTCTAGGAACCACTGACAATTCTTTTAATTTATTCACAGATATTTGAATAACCTCCTACTCAGGTCCACAAAACACAATTTTCCCCAGATTCTCTTGTCTTACCAGGGTGGTGAGTTGCGTGCTGAAAGTTTTCATTTACAGAAATGCTGTAAGGAGACAAAAGTATTGTGAGTACAAGGTCTATAAACAAATTAAGTTAATGTTTCATTAAACAGATGAGAGCCAGCATAAAACTTGAATATGAAGAGGACTTTGGAAACCAATCAATAGCCAGACTAAAATTGTGTTGTGTTTTATACTTTTAAACTGTTATGTAACTTAGGCAATCATAGAATAATTCTTCAAGAACTCAGTTAAAAGAAAAATCCCTGCATGTCACTCCTTACAGCCCAGGGTTACTACCCGCATTGTTTTCGTAAATCTTTGCAAGAGAAATATGTAAAACCATGAAGGAATACTTACAATAATCCAGAGTCCAGCCATTGCTGAATACTTTCTTTTTTTGAATTTTCTATAAATAAGAACAACAGTTCAGTCAGTTAAAGCATAACAGCAGAAACAACTCTATCCCATCATTCATCCCCCACTTAATAGCTCTGTTTCCTACATATTTAGTCACATGTTTCCATAATCATATTCATTTTCCCCCCAAGGCAAAACTTCCTATTTTCCATCAGCCTATGCTGAGAATGATGTGTAAACTTGCCAAAGGACTTTAACTTGAAAAAAAGAAGAGAAAACAGAAAATGTGAAAGAGAAGAAGTCAACAGAGGAGAAGTTTACATTGCCTGGTGTGACTACGAAGGGATAGGAGACTTTTGTCTTCCTCTTGTTGGATATAAATCAACATAAGCCTGTCCTTATTGAATCACAGCATTTACCTGAGGCAGCTAGCCAGTGATATTTATTTGCAAGGAGTTCTCTGCCAGGTTAGAAGCCAAATTTGCATTCATTCCAGAGACAAATTGCACTAGAGTCCCAGGATTGCCAAAGGCACCCTGTGTTAAAAAGGCACCAGTCTTTTAAGGTGGATCTTTATCACGGGCTCAACAAATAGTCAACAGGCAAAAATGAGGTTATATAAAAGCAGCATTTCCTGTTAAGTATTTGCTTCCATTTTAATTTGCTGTAGTCTCCTGTGGCTTGCCTGTTTTTGACTTTAACCTACCACCAATGAGGCACCTGAATTAACCCCTCACAAGCTGCCTAGTGAACCAAGAAGGAAGGGGGAGGGGGCATGGGCGGTGCCTTTTCTTCAGTGGAGATACTTTGAAGGGACAGGATGAATAGGAAGGTGAGCAAAGATAGATCACCAGTTACCTGATAGTAGAGGGAGAATATTTCCTTACTTTATTACCCCTTAGACTATTACCATGGTTATTAAAGCTTCATAGGAGATCCACAAAATAGATGTCTTTCAACAAAGTGTTTGCTGTTTTGCAGGAAACCCGAGGCCCACGTAGGGACTCCACAGTATAAGAGCCCTGGAGGACTCAAGATGAGGGGGTGCTGGAGTAGAAAGGAAGCAGAGTTCATCCTTCACTTGGCCTATGTCCATCAAAAAAGCCTGCTCTATGTCCATCCAAAAGGCTTAGGTGTTGTTTCTGTGGGGAACTCAGAAGTACCCACATGTCCTTTCTGGCATGATGCCTCAAGGCTGGACTCTTCAAAGTCAAGTCCTTGATGTGGAATATATTTACCCAGAGCCCGGAGCCCCCACATCTCATCAGCCATAGCAGAGCTTTTTCAAGCAGCCCTGGGGCCCCTCTCACCGAGTATGGAGTCTGTACACCTCTGAACTTCCTCCGCAGAACTGGACAGCTGCTGCTCTTCCACTGGAGCCCAGACCATCTTGGTGGACCGCAGAATGCCTCGTCTGCCCTTCTGCTGGCCTCCTCTGTGGTTGTCAGATTCACGAGCATTCTCCGCCATCATGAGAGTAATTGGGCAAACTGATTGAAGACATGCACACAAACAATCAGACACGATGCGCTCAGCTTTCAGCTTGGCTCAGTGTGGGTGGCTAGAATGCTCATGGTCCAGTGGTTGGGTCCTGCTTGATAACCTTCAGGATCCTCACTCACCCACCTGAGCTGAGTTTCCTGATTCAGCTGGTGAAATGGTTCCCTCTCAATGGAGGGGCATCTGGAGATTTGGCCTCACTGGTCACAGGGCCACAGCTGCACTCTCTTGTCAGGTTCAAGCTGGTGGTATAGGATGTGGGTGGAGAGCAAGCACAAAATTGGACTGGAGGGCCTACCCCACCAAGGAGAAAGTTTTAAAGCATGGATTAACATAATAAGCTTTCTTCAGATTTATTCAACAGTTCCATCCATAAAAACAGTTTTAGAGACACATATTGTCATGGAAAATGAGAGCTTTTGCAACAGATCTGCCTGACTGCCTGCCGAGTCTCATCTCTGCAACTTATTGTTTGGGCCTGGTTAACTATATAACCTGTCTGCAGGTTTTCATGGTGTGTATTAACTGTATTAAATGGTAATAATGCTTAACTTCAGTTGAGTTCTCTTACTATGTGTGGTTATTATTATTGCAAGGTGCCGAACCGTATGCTGAATCCTGTACATCCACAGTTGTCAATGAAGGAAGTTACCAAATGGTCACATATTCATAGTAAATTGAAGAACAGAGGGGTGAAGTTACAGACCCAAAACCACACAGCAATCAGGATTCAAACCCAGCACTGAACTCCAGGTTTCCATGATTGGTAAAGCAATCAATCAACAGCTAGAGCAATCACCTCTCTAGCTGTGTGGTGCAGAGTGTGAATATCAGTGCGTGAAGTGACAACATGTCATTGTGAAAGATAAACTGTCTGCCTCCTTCATCTTATTTGACCTTTTTGCACACTTTTGAAGCCAAGTAAGAGAAGTTTTAGAGCAACTGTGGAAATGGTTTAAACTCCTGAGATCCTTGGCACATTGGAAACAATGACTCACTGCGATGTAGCTCTAGAATTTGATTGCATTCTTGGTGCATAGCAGGTGCTAAGTAACAATAACAGCAGCAGAGCTAGATTGCCAAACCACACTTTCTGACTAAATCCTTTCCATGGCATCTACTTGAATATATGCATTCATTTATTCCTCAAATTTAGAGAAATTGCCAAATAGTGAGATGTCAATGTCATCAACATTTCTAGCATTCCTAAAATGATGCATAATGATTGATCACATGACACACACGGCATCCTTTGTAATCATCGTTTCAACATAGCAAGTCACATTTATTCTAAACATTAAGTATTCTCTTTTAAGAATAAGTGAGCATTCTAGATGTAGTTGGTAGTAAGAATCTCCCTATTAGCTCTGTATATTAAAAACCTATCAATCAGTTTAAATATAAATGCACATACATTAGAAAATAATTGCAATAGGAATAGAAATAGATTTCTAAACAACTGCAATAAAATAAAAATAAAAGAGATGCAATAGAAAATAGCTGAAAAGACAATTGTAATGTCTTAATTTTATGTAAAATGCAATGAGTAAAATTCAAATTAATTATAATTAAGACTGACAGCTAATATTAACAATGAGGATTTTGTCAGTTGACCTCAGTAAGCTAACTTCAGAAACATAACCTGGGAACAAATTAATGTTTATAAAAATTTTGATGATAACACAAGACAACAATAATACAGATTACAATATATTTCTCAGCCTTATAGAGTTGTTTGGTATACTAGAATTCCTAACACTGGACAAAGTAAATGTTAGGAACTTTAATTTAGGTAGGTTTTGGGTCTTTGGAGGAAAAAATAATGTCTTTCTTTGACATCATTGGCAATGCCTTGAGTCTTATATGAAGGGCAATCCGAACATAGACTCTGACAGCACAAAATTTCACAAGAAGGAAAATCTCCAAAATCATACTCAACAATATTCATGAAACATCAGACCCAATTAAGGATCAGGGTGAGAAGAAAAGATAATGTATTATGGAAAAATAAAATCCACCAAAGAATCTTGCCCCGCCACTGACCTCAGCCAAAAGTGAGTTTCTGTTTAGCAGGAAGATTTTGCTGGTAGTGGCAGCAGAAGCTGTGAAGCAGCTGAGATTCTTCAAATGGCTGCTTGTGTGCCATCCTGTCAACTTTTAGCCTAGCTACCACTTTTTCAAATAGAACCCTGTAAAAACCATAAAGCTTTTCAGAGAAAGGTTCTGCTTTTTCTGACGTCCCCAAACTTCCATTCTGCACTGGCAGATTTGACCTCGGCAGCCAGCCAGCCTTGCACAACCAGTGAGGATTTGCTCCTGCTGGCTCCCTTGTAGTTGGCTTTCGGTCAGGAAATCGCTTGCCAAGGAAAGTGGGAACCTTTGCTAAAGGCAAGGGTGAGGGACCGGTTTGTAAAGAAAAACTCTTTTGTCCCCTCTGTTTTCGTGGATGCCTTCCCAGTTAGCAAACAAATCTGCTCCTGGAAACAGAATCTCTCTGCCTGGGTGACCTTCTTTGGCGCCCGCTGTCTTGCTCCTCAGGGCAGTCCTTGGAAAAGGGACACAGATCAGGTGGCAGCCTGAACTGCCCAGGGTACTGCCCAGGCAGAAGTTATGGCATGTGGCCGCTGCTGACTCCGCTACTTGACCCTCGCTATCCCCATTACTATTTTGGTTAGCAAGAACCAAATTCTTGCTAACTCTTACTTAACCCAAAGTGAATCTTCTTCCTGGGCAATATTCCTGGACTCCAGGGGCTCTTTATCTCTTCAGAGCCTTCCCATTCTTATTGGTATGTTCCTAATCTTTCTGTGCCTAAAGAACTCCCATTAACATGAGAAATTCCAAATAGTATCAAAAGAGGATACCAAATTCTCTAGATGCACCAAAAACTCAATTTTCTAAAAAAAAAAAAAAAACAAAAAACAAAAAACAAAAAAACCCCTAATGTATTAAAAAGACACGCACAAAGGAAATGTACTGAAATGTTATCATGATTTAAACATTTGAAAAATAAGCAAAGTGAGCAAAAATGACTGTTACATTAGTTTTACACTGCATATTCTTTCATTTAAGCAAATTCAACCTTGTAAGCACCTTCTGTCCCCAGTGAAGCCAGAGAATTTAATAATTTGATAGCTGGAGCAGTGATAATGATTACATTCTTATCCTCCTGGCTTACTTAACTTTTTACACCTCTGTGCAAAATGGACTGTCTTGCCAAACAGGTGGTTCTGTACTGAGAGACTAGGGACTGTGCTTTTTCTGTGCATTCCCTTTGACTCCTGTGTTGCATTTTCCCCAGGATAAATAATGCAATTGTTAGCTCATTGCTTGGTTATTTGGGAACAGAGTGGTTTAACCAGCCAGCATTCTTGGTTCTTACATGATTAAATAAGCACGCCTTCAGGTCAGGTAAGTCAAAATTTTAATCTGAGCTCAGCTGGCTTTTCTGGTATTTTCACATAGTCATATTTCATCACTGTAGGTGAACACCCTTCAAAATCCCAATTTTAAGCATCCCCGTAACCTCAATTCTACTCATAGACTTTGCTTCAATATCATTTTTCCTCCCCTTTGACTGATTCTCATCTGTTCACATATGCTATAATTTCTCCCACTTTAAACACTCTTTCCTCTCCAGTCCCATCTCTTTCCAAATCCTACCCTCATTTTCTATTCAACGGATAAGGACTCCAAATCCCACATTTCCAAAGCTGGCCCAGAAGTACAGAACAGAGTCTCTGAACTTTAAAATAGGAACTCTCTAATAATTGACATCTCCACTTGGATATTTATAGACATCATAATCTTCATTCATACAGATTCTCAGCTGCTTTTCTGATATTTCCTTGGGAAAATGTCAAACACCTTTGATAATCTAGTCTTCATTTCTTTAATGAGTATGAAATAGTCACTTCGTAGGATTGCTCAATTTTCTTTATTTTCCTTTATTTTTTGTGTTGCCTGCTATCTTTGTTGTGTCAAGAGCACTGAACTCTTTATTGTTCCTTGACTTCTACTTGAGCATTCACATAATTATAGTATTTCTTCACCTTAATAAATGGCAACCCTATTCAGGCAATTGCTCAGGTCAAGAAATTGAGACTTCCTTGATTCCTTCAATCATCCTTTACTCTCACATCAAGCCATTAATAAAAGAGACAACCAGCTTTACTGCTACCAACCTGATGTGAACTAGACATCTAGCATCACCTAGATCCTGGTAAATGACTCCAGTCATAAAACCACTTGTCCTTCGCTTTCTTTCATATCCCACTCAAATCGTGAGGCTAATAGTGAAGTCTCAGTTCTTATCACTTTATAATTTTTAGCAACATTTGAGATGGTTGACTCCTTCCTCTTAATAGAAAACATTTAAAATATTTTTAATTTGATATTCTTCCATATTTCTTCTCATGCCACTCATAAATTTTTTCAAGCCCTTTGCTGGCTTTCTCCTCTATATTGCTCAAGTTTGAGTGTTTTATACATCACTCCCCAGCCGCCTCTGATCCTCCCTATCTTCAGACTCCCCTGTATAATTCTGGCTTTAATCATTCTTCTGTAATCCTATAATTTAATGTAAGACACAGCTAAAGTATTTTCATAAATTTGTGTTAACCGTTCTGGGATTTTCTTCAGGACAGAAATCTTAGCTCTCATGTCATAAGTATAAAGAAAAGGTGCTTAGTATATACCTGCTGAATAAATGACTATTTAAATAAATGCCAACAAGGAACTGAGAAGTAGCAAAGCAAATTTAGTTTTGTAATCATTAAGGATGGTTTGATAGTTAGTAAATAACTTTTCAGAAGGTGCAACTTGCCAAGAATAAGCACATAGTATCAAGGAATAATGCATTGTAGCTCTGAGTTAGAAAAGTGATAAGATTATGTAAATACATTCACACATACATAGATATATTCTACCTCCAGTTTGAACCAAAAATTTTCTGGGTCATCGCTTAATGTCCA